TTTTGAGATTTAACTAAATGTGTAGCTAAATATTGTTCAAATTCAAAAGTCTTCCTTGATGATGATCCAGATCCAGATTCACAGCTACTACCAGTTAGCCTATCTATCATTGATTGCCTATTTAAAAGCTTACTTTTGCCCTGTCATGAGCTCATAGAAGTTGTAGGTTGAGGTGTACCTACACCATATCTACTTGCATACTCGTCAATAATCTTTGAAAATAATATTTAATAGTGTTATGAGTAAAAACAATAAAAATCTACCCACTAGCAGTGTCTATTATCATGTTCTCAAACAAAGAATATAACAAACTTTGAAGGCCAATATCCTTCAAGCATGGATCAATAAGAATCCCTAAACCAAAAATAAAAGGAATAGATCTAAAATACTTGTTAAATTTACTTTCGCAAAAATCATGTTTCCAAAATAATTATCGATGTGATAAGTATTTAAAAAAAATCGAGGAATAAAGGCATGGAATAAGTATTTAAAAAATTCCTAGCAAAAATCATGTTTCCGAAATAAATCATGTTAACCTGCATGCTCCAACCTCGCCTGCAAGCTCGCCAAGTTCGTCTGAACGCCCAAATGCGTCTAAACAAAGTCCGTCTGCACAGCTTGACCAAGTCAATCACTAAAGCTTGAATTGTGGAAGCGGTTGCACCCACTTACCATGTTCCTAGAAAGTGGTTACAGGTAGGGGTGCTAAACCGTATCTGTATCCGAGGAAATATCTGTAACCGTATCCGTTAGGATATGAATATGGTTACTCAAATCTATAACCGATAGGATATGGTTACGGATATAGTTTTATAGTGAAATATCCATATCCGTATCCGAAATATCCGAATACATATTAGTCATAGTCTTACGATAGTTTCGATTCTTAGATTATAGATTTGTGGTTAATTTTGATGATCAAGATGTCTAATCTTAATTTTTCAGTTAGAATGGACATATTAACAAACTCTTTTGTATCACATGAACTATGTTTTTCTCAATACTATCTAGTTTTCTCATATCTGTTTTGTATCCGTATGCATATCCGCTTATGTATCAGCATGTATATCCGTAACCGTATCCGATTTTAGTAGATATGGTTATAAATTTTCTTTACCGAGGTATATCTGTATTTATATTTGTATCCGAAATGGGTAAGTGAATATGGATATGGTAAGCATCATATCTGAGCTATATTCGGACCGAATGTGCCCCTTGTTACATGTCATTTGCCTCTATAAACAACTATTGATGACTGTAAGAAAAAGGGAAAGGGGGCATTAGAGAGAGCATTAGGATCCTTTGTGCACTCGGCCTCTAACTTTCAAGCATCCTAGCTCGGGTACTCGAACTCAAAAGACCAAACTTCTACCACGCGAGGAAGTTTGTCCGCAACCTTGTTCAAATCGTCAACAGAAAGCAAACTCGACACGAGCATCGAGGGAGACATCCTATCGCCCCAAAAGATCCCACGTTAAACAAAAGAGAGATCGAATCAATTCTCTCTTCTTCTGTGTAAAAGTGATTTCCGCTTTGTAACAAACAATTCAATTAATACAATTTTGAGATCAATTTTCACGACCTACAGTGCTCTGTTGTGTTTTTTCAAATAGCGTTTGAGGTGGTTGGTGCTGCTCTTATGATGAGCTTCAAAAATATGGCTGCACAACGCACATTTATCCTTCTGGGTGGGAAGTTTGCGTTTTATTCCTGATGACATCTATCTTCTCAAAAAAAATTCACACATCGGATCTCGGCCTTTTAGGAGTTCTAGGTGTTGGATCATCACTATTAGATTTGGGATCAACATCAGTAGTACGGTGAGTAGCTGTAGGAGTAGTAAGACTCATTTTGGTATTAGGAGTTGGAATTTGCGCTTCATAATCATAGGAGAAAGCCATTGGAATTAGAGAATTAGAGAGTATAAGAGAGATAAGCTATAGAATTTGAGAGAAGTGGATGAGTTTTAGATGAGAAAATTAAATAAAACCCCCCTCTATTTATAAAGGCATTCCATAGCCAAATGATCAAAATACTCTCAAAATTTGATCGTTTTTGACTGTTTTTGGGGGTATTTTGTCATTTGATAAAAAATAACCGTTATTGACTATTTTATCAGCCTGAACTAGGCTGAGTCCGGGCCAGCCCAGACCTAGCCCGGTCTAATGGCTAGAAATCTAGCTATTGGACTAGGTCCGGGTTGGACCCGAGTCGCCCAGTCCAATGGCTAAATTTTTAGTAGTTGGACCAGGCTATGTCCACGCTGGGTTTGGGCTGCCCAGTCCAAACTCTATTTTATTTTTTACCAGTAGGACTGATTTCAAACTCGGTCTAGGTCGGGCTTAGACGCTAGCCCCGGTACAATGGCTACCCACCAGGCCTGGTCTAAGTCCGGGCCAGACTCGGACCTAAGTTCTTTGGTCAAAGCCCATATTTGTGGCCTGATCGAGTTGGGCTCGGGTCGAGTTTCGTTGAACCAACCTGGACCCGAGCCTGGGGCCTGGTCCGGCTTTGGTTTCCAGGCTTTTCCTGGGTCTAGGCTGTGCGCTGGTTCTGCCGGGTCCAAGCCAGACACTAGTCCGGGTTAGTAGCCCGTTTGACACCTTTAGATATTATCTAGATCTTCAATTAATTTTATCTTTGGTTCGTAGTTACTTGGATTTGATGTGAAGGGAAGGGAGATCGGTTTTTCAATAGTTTGAGGAAGAAGAGAAAGTTTTATTGAGGGGTATTTTAGAGAAAATGTAAAAGTTAAATAGGTTTTAATATTTTTTTTTAACAGCAAAGGGTATTGTAATAAAAAAATAGCATTAGGTGGTTTCATAATAAACTGTCAAAACTAAAGAGGGTTTCATAATAATTACCCTTTATAGATATAAGAATACAAACAAATGTACCTACTGTTAGATATAGTAGTATCAGGATATCTACTTTCCTTCATTTTAGTCCAACATCGATTAGGACCATAAAACCTCTACTCTTACTCTTATATTTAAGTAATTCAATACAATGAATATAATAAGTCTCTTTTCTCTCAAATGTCTCTTTTCTCCGAAAAGCTCTATTCATAGTATGGTATCATAGCCATCCTCTTGATCCAAGAGAGACCTCTTTCTTCTTCCTCTATATGGAGCCATCGAGGGGGTTTTGCCAAAACCACTACGCTTCCCCTCGGTGGCCTCCCCACCCAATTCAATCTTGATGCACTGCCTCATCTCTTACAACCTCTCGTCGCCCTCTGCTCACTACAAAGCCCCTACCCTAACCTTTGCCAAATGGCCTCTTCATTCAAGATTATTGTTCACGCACGGACTACTTGTTGGCCTTCTTGTTTTGATGATATTTAACAAACAATTTACGACTAATGTTATTTATCTAGTATTTATGGTTTTTTATTTATTATAGATAAACAACATGTTGGAGAATGGATGAAATCGAGCTTTCACGATCATATCCAATGGAGGTTGGCGGAATAGTAGAGTGAAGCAATATAATTTAAGTTGAAGATCCAAGTTCAAGCTTCATCCACAAGTTTACCAAGAAGAGCTTATTGAAGATCAAGATCATAGCTTAGGTATATTTAGTTTAGATTTATATTATGTGTGTTGATACTTTAAGCTCAATCACTTACATACATATAAGTTTTGGTTTCTTATATATATATATATATATATATATATTATAAAGTTTCTACAAGCATATAAATAAATATTTATATTCATACATGTTTGTTTTTATGTGGATAAGTTGGTTTGGTTTAATTTCATAGATATGAAACAAAAATATATTCATATACATACTCATATGTTTCATATTCTATTGTATTTATAAAAATATTATATTCATTATTTATAGACTTTATAACAATAGTTTATATCTTCCTTTAAGTCTATAAAATCAGTTTATAGAGTTTCAAAACATGGTTTATGTCCAATGTTAAAAACAAGTGTTTTTCATTTACATGTTTTGGACTATTTTGCAAAATAATGATATTTTTTATTTGGGAGGTCCTTTTTAAAAGCTATTTTTTGTAGCATGTTTATTATCATGTTTACAATCATTTTTCAAAGTTTTATATTTTTCTGATTTTATTTGCTATTTTTAAAAGAGGTTTGAAAATTAGATTTCTGTTTCATGTCTTGAGTCGACTCATGAACAGTGTTGAGTCGACTCATAAACTGTTGTGTAGTTTACATTTTGTTTCTGACTAGTCGACTCATAACATCATGAGTCAACCCATCAGGTTGAGTCGACTCATGCCTGTCATAAGTCGACTCACAAACTGTGCTGAAAATTGTGTTTTGTTTCTATTGAGTCGACCCATGACTTCATGAGTTGACCCATGTATGATGAGTCGACTCATGAATTTTATGAGTCGACCCATAAGTTGATTTTTAGCCTGTAACGGCTACTTATGAGTCGACTCATGAACAATACCGAGTCGACTCATAACACTGTAACGACTATATTTCCATACTGTACTGTTTTTGGGTTTTTGGTCTTTTTGCCTTGTTTTCTCTTGGCTTTGGGGTTCCTATAAATACCCCCATATATCATCAGTTTTATATAATCCACTAGTGGAAATTGGGGTTTCCTTGACGGCAACATCGCTGACGGGGTATTCCCGTCAGCGTTGTTTTTATCGCTGACGGAAAATCCCGTCGGCGATGTTCCCGTCAGCGTGTCTTCATTCCCGTCAGCGATGAAAATATCGCTGACGGGCTGTAAACATCGCTGACGGGAACCCCGTCAGCGATGTCTGCTTTATAAATCTCGCTGACGAAATATTTTTCCACAGATCGAAACCCTAATTTCTTCGCCGCCGCGCGCCCTCGTTCCCCTCTCTCAGCTCAGCCACTCGCCGCCGGCGAACACCGCACTCTCGCGGCCAGCCTAGCCCGCGCCATCACCTTCCCCTCCCCCTCTTCGACTCCACCATCCGTGGCCCCGATCAAGCTCACCGACGACCTTGGAGCTCGCCGCCGCACCGCCCCATCGCCGACTCGAACAGTGGGCGCCTGAGCTCTCTCGTCTCCTCACCCGTCAGCAGCGTATGATTCCTTTGATTTTTTTTATTTTTTTTCTGATTTTAGGTTTTGTTGTTTTTACTAATTTGAGATCTGATTTCTTGGATTGCAGCGCAGGAGGTCTAAGTGAGTCTTACGTTTTGTTGGATTGCATTGCAGGAGATCCAAGCGGTAATTTTTGGTCATTGTCGCATTTTGGTGTATAGAATTATACATAATTAGTTGTAAAACGAATAATTAGTTGTAAAATGACCAAGCTGGTTGATATTTACAAATAGCTGTAATCTAGTTGAGTCTCATTTTATTTGTAAAGTTTAACATACAAACTTAAACAAAATTAAGCATATGCTGTAATAAAGTGGTTATATAGCATGACAGTTTTTAGTCTAAAGTGCAATCACTACTGAAATAATTTTTGTATGAAGTTCATCTCTAAATTGGTTCAGAGATAGCGCTATTCTGAGAGAAAAGTTCATGAAGAAAATAACGACATAAGTAACTTCGGTAACAGAATTTGACCTTACCTTAATTCCACCTTTCTGAGAGAAAAGTTCATTAAGAACAATAGTTATCAGAAAGTTACCACCTTAAGTTTGAACAATTATCAGATAACCTGCATCATATGATACAGTTGACCAGCTGCTAATTTACTCTCTAGGTCTTTATTCTTTTTTGGTTAATTTATTCTCTTGTGGGTAATTACAAGTTTTATTGTGTTATATATCATGATTTATGAATCGAAAGTCGTTACCCCTAGTTTCCCGTCTAATAATGTTGGATGTGAATCTCTTCTGATATAAACTCACGTAATTCTATTTTAGGATGTGAAAATACTTTTTACAACTAAAGGGAATAACGTGATTTATGTTAGGAGCATGATATACATGCAATAATTATTAGATCTGTCCGGGGAGGAGTCCCCTTCTCGTACAGGTTAGGAATACAGTAGTGTATCATCTATCTTTATATACTTTATGCATTTTTATTCCTTAAAAATTTCAATAACACGTACCGCATTGTTCTCCATGTACAATAAGCGTATGTTGTTTTGCGTATCGATCCATAATCGATCTATTATCGATGATTGATACGCATTATAACATCGGCACAGTGTACTCGGAGAACTGCGGGTAGGTGCTGCCGAAATTTTCAAGAAATAAATATGCTTAAAGTATATAAAGGTAGTTGTAGACACTACTATATTCCTAATGGGATAGGTCCATTTCCTATGACAGCCGTTAAATTGTCTTATTTCAAATATGAGCGTTAGATTTTACTCCCACATAATTTATGTTCTGGTAATTTTCCCTCCGAGTTTATTATAATTAAAATTTCCCTGATGTCGTGAAGAAAGTTAATATCATGCAACCTTTAATTTGATGTGTTACTAATAAAACTTAACATTACCTAATTATGCTTAATATCATACAGATCTATGAGGATAGTTTCGAACAAATCATGGATCGATATTCCTCGTATTGATAGATGGAGGGATAGTCGATATAAAGATGGAATAAATCAATTCATATAGTACGCCTTGGCAGACCCACGAAAGTTAAATAGTGATGCCGTGTATTGTCCCTGCTGTTGGTGTAAAAATAGGGCGTTGGTGGATAAAAGTGATTTACAGAAACACTTAATATCAGGATTCCATGAGGAGTACAAATATTGGACGTTTCATGGGGAAGGATGTCTTGAAGAAATGGAACTGATGGCGGATATCGGTACTTCCGGTGGGAGAATAGATGATACGAGAATAGATGATACACATACGATGCTCGCGGATATGTTAACAGTTCCTAATATAGATCAATCTGATTATGCCGAGGATGCTGACGAGTCAGGAAATACTGGAGGCGTGACTGATCATGAGGAGCTGGCACAGATAATGAAATTAATAGCCGATAATGAAAACGATCTGTACGAGGGTTGCACCGAGTTCACCAGGTTATCATTTATGCTGCGTCTTTTGCGTATAAAGTCTCTTAGCGGAATGGCTGATAAATATTTTAATATGTTGCTTGTGTTGCTGAGAAAAGTCATTCCAAATGGAAAAGATAGCATACCAGAAAATTATGATAACGCAAAGAAGATTGTTTCTGTTATAGGACTTGATTACAATAAAATCGACGCATGCCCTAATGATTGTATCCTCTACTATAAGGATAACAAAGATCTTCAGGAGTGTCCAATTTGTGGAGTATCACGGTGGGTACAACGCAAAAATTATTCAACACATGGGACAACAAGGTCTATGCTTAAGCAAAAGAAGATTCCAGCAAAGGTCCTGCGTCATTTTCCCTTAATACCAAGGCTAAAACGGTTGTATATGAATAAAGACACTGCTAAGCAAATGAGGTGGCACATGGAAGAACGTACTGATGATGGTAAAATCAGACATCCGGCTGATGCAGAGGCGTGGAAGCATATGGATAGAACTTTTCCTTGGTTTACGAATGAGTGCAGGAATGTTAGACTAGGTTTGTCTAGCGACGGATTCAATCCATTTGGGATAATGAGTTCTGGTTGGTCTACATGGCCTGTGGTATTAACGCCTTACAACTTACCACCTTGGCTTTGCATGAAACAACCGTATATGATACTTTCATTATTGATACCAGGCAAGCATGCACCAGGCAATGACATAGATGTGTTTTTAGAACCGCTAATTGATGAGTTAAAACAACTCTGGACTGAAGGGGTTATGACTTATGATACTCATGCAAAGCAGTCTTTCAGACTACGTGCTATTTTACTATGGACAATTAATGATTTTCCAGCCTATGCGAATCTTTCAGGTTGGTCTACAAAGGGAACATATGCATGTCCAGTGTGTGGTACAGAATTCAAAGGTCTTTATCTACAGCACAGTCGAAAGTTTTGTTATTGGTTTAATAGAAGGTGGTTGAACATAAAACACAGGTACAGAACAAAAAAATGGAGCAAGTTTTTTGATGATACTATTGAGAAGAGAGATGCTCCGCGTCCATTACGTGGGGATCAGATTGTACATTTGCTTGAGATGTTCCCTGCCGTCAGGTTTGGAAAGAAGCGCTATTCGAAAGAAGATTTACTTGGAGTAAGGAACTTGCGTATTAACAAAAGGATACCAAAACGAAAGAGACAAGCACAAGTGGTGAGTGATGGGGCTGAAGTCGTAAAATTACCTTCAGGATGGACAAAATTCAGCATTTTTTTTCAACTCCCCTATTGGAAAGAGCTAAAAATACGTCACAACTTGGACGTTATGCACATTGAAAAAAATATTTGTGATAATCTTTTGTCCACACTGTTGCAAGATGCTAATAAATCAAAGGATGATCTACGAGCTCGTCGAGATCTAACTGCATTGAACATTAGAGAGGAACTGCAGCCAAAAAATGTCGGAAATGACCGATTAGAGTTGCCTGCGTCTCGTATTACAATGTCGAAAGTTGAGATGCAAACATTTTGTCAAGTCCTCAAATCAATAAAGTTACCAGAGGGTTACTCCGCAAACATATCGAACTATGTCCAGGTGCAAGAAAGGAAAATATTAGGGCTTAAAACTCATGATTATCACGTGCTTCTTCATCAATTGCTACCTGTGGCACTACGCAGTACTATGCAGAATAAAAAAACAGTGAAGGTTATTATTGATTTTTGTGGATTTTTCAGAAAGCTTTGTTCTAAAGTTATAGACACCCGTGACTTTGAGAAACTTGGAGAAAATATTTCTGAAACAATGTGTGAAATGGAGATGCTCTTTCCTCCATCTTTTTTCACAATAATGGTTCATCTTACACATCATCTCGCGGAGGAGGCTGCAATAGCAGGACCAGTCCATTATCGTTGGATGTATCCAATAGAGAGGTTAGTATTTAGAAAAATTTAATCGTTACCTATCAATATTTATATCTATTAAATGTAAATTTCTTTACATCTATATCTGATTAATATTCCTTTTTTAGATATTTGGGTTCAATGAAGCGTCAATTGCGTAACAGAGCTCGCCCAGAAGGTTCAATAGCTGAAAGTTACGTGAGAAGCGAGTGTCTCTTATTTGCCTCTCGTTATATGAGAGGGGAACAAACTGAACTTCAAGCACCCGTTGATAATAAGGAGTACACAATTCTCTATCCTCGCGGGCTGAACAAAAATTATTCTAACATATTGTTAGATCAAGCGCATGCATATGTTATAAATAATCTTGAAATCTTCTCGGAGTACCGGAGGTAAAATATCTAAAAAGAATTTTTAATACCATTTACTCTTTAATTTCTATTTTGACAAAATTTTTATTTTGACAATAATAATTAAATTTATGCACATTAATAGGCAACATCAGGAAAAACTTAAGAATGAAGTTACCGGTAGTACAGCTGTACATGACATTAAAGAAAGGCATATGAAGGAATTCCCTGCTTGGTTGAATAGTGAAGTAAGTATTGTTAAATTTAGCGATATTTGTATTTCATTGATAAAAACTTAGAAATTATTGATTTAATAGTTTGCTTATTTTTGTATATATTTAGATCCAGGAACAACTTGTCCTTAATAATCAAATATCAGAAGAAGTGAAGGTTCACGCAAAGCGGCCTTACTATGCTATAATTCACTATGGTGGGTATCGTGTTAACGGTTATAAATTTCACACAATGGAGGTTGATGATACGAAGGTCACCCAGAATAGTGATGTCATGGCTACCTCTTCACGGGAATGTTTCTCAAACAGAAGATATCAGAATCCAGTTGAAAATAATATAACATATTATGGAAGGTTGGAAGATGTGGTGGAGATATTCTACGGCTATGGTGGTCCAAATGAACATAAATACATGATGTTCATGATTCGTTGGTGTTTTACAAAGACTCAAAAGGATCCCTTTGGATTTACAATTGTCAATCTCGATAAAGAAATTGATAGTGATGAAAAATTCATGTTTGCATCTCAGGTGGGACAATGTTTCTATGTGAAAGATCCTACAGTTAAAGACGAGTGGGTTGTCTTGTACAAGGATTCTAGGGCTTATATTCAACCTTCCACGAATGAAGATGATGACGAGAGCTATATAAACAACTTCAATGAGCCAAATACAGCGATCGATGAATTCTCGTACCCTCAAAACGTAGTGTTTGAAACGGATGCTCCAACAACTCGGACAGACATTCCAAATATTATCACAGACATTAATAGGAGCTAAACAGCAATTATTTGTAATCGGGTCTTCATGTAACTTTTTTTAGTTTGCAAATTGTATAATAAAAACTTTAATATCACTACAATGTATCTCAATTACCTTTTGGACGATATAAATATGTAATATCTTATTTTGTATATTCAGCTTGCAAATGCCTACAAACTTGATGTGAAATGAAAAATTTAGTAACGCAACAATACATATTGTTTTTATTTTCGCCAAGCTAATTTGCATCTATGTTATATTAATTTGTATGTTTATTCAACTTGCAGATGTCTAAAAATATTAACAGGAGGTTATTCGAAGCTAACCCCAGTCAAGACCAATCCACTGAGGAAGAGCCTCAGAGTTCAGGAGAGATGTCAGGTATAACTTGGTTTAACGAACGTATTTTTATTCATGATATATGCACAATGATAATTTATTTCTTTTATTTTTATAGGTGAGGGTGAGGAAGAGCCGACTCACATACCATTACATGCAGATCCTCCAGTTATACTTCGAGCATACATTCCTGGGATTGAGCGCGGGCCCTTACCAGCATGTGCAGAGGGGTACAGACTCAAGCAGAACGAAAAATACATGCTTGCGAAAAAAAGATTAGATGAATGGGCCCCACAGATTGATGAGATTTTGTCTGATGCAAAAAATGAAATCAGACAAAGATTTGGTGAGTTTGATCAAAAACTTAATCAATTCCAGAATTTTTCTTCTTCCTTTTTTAGTAAATTCTAAGAGTTTAAGATTGATTAAATAAAAGTGTTGATATATCTATTATTTCTTTTTTGTAGGAGAAAAACTTTACCAGAAGAAAGGACGCCAAGGAAGTGACTTTAAAAAAAAGTTACCACCGGATGGTTTTCGAGCAATTGTGAGATGGGGACATAATGGGATTCCAACCGGACAATGGGCTAATAACTTCAGCTCATACCTTGGATGTTTGATACGGAGGAGTGATAATGTGAATCCCTATTACGAGGCTTGGGAGCAGCCATTTCATGTCCTGGAGAGTATATATCGAGATTGTTGGGTAAATTCTTATATTTAGCATAATTATTTTTCAATTCTGTCAATTGTCCATGCTTAACTATATTTTATTTTTTAGAGATATTTCAACATCGAAGACAATCCTGTAGGGTGGGAATTTTTATTTGGATACCAGGGAAAGTTCAAGCATTCTCTTCGGGAGTGGAGACATGAGATAAAGAAGAAATGCTTTGATTGTTTCACTCACAACTGGGAGAGGATATACAAGCGAGATAAGAGGGTTGAGCCTGAGCACTTAGCTGCACTTATAATATTGTGGGGCCAAGAGGAGCACCAGGTAAATATGTATAGTAGTTGATTATCCTCAAGTTATTTATCTGAAACTAGTGATATATTCCATTGTATATTATACCATACCATGCACTAAAATTCTCTTTGTTCATGTTGAAGGAAAAATGTAGGAGAAATAAACTTAATCGATGGAAAAAAGATTATGATCATCATACGGGGACTACTTCATTTGCCCAGATTGAGGATCAATTTTGTAGGACAACGGTATAAAGTCTTTTAATAATCATTGTATATTCTCTCCGCTTCTTAGAATATTTAATAAATAAAACTAATAAATATCATTTGTTAAATTTCAGAACGCTGTCCCTTTATCCACTACCAGCAACTTGCACAGCTAATGACTGAGAACGATTGGTTCAATTTTAAGAATGCGGCGTTACGATGAGGGCATGAGACTAAGAACAAAGCCTGCTTTAGAATTGCGCGAAGAAAATGCAGGTAACTAAATTATCTTAGCTCTTATTTAGCCTGTTATGCATTGTTGGGAATTATTGTTTTGCACTCTTCTTTTGGTCTATCTTCATTAATTAGCCTGATTACCATGACCCGATTCGTATGAGGGGCTTGCTTGGTTTAGGGATATAACAATTCATAAGCAATAACATATTGTAACATGATTTTGATCTACTTTTGGTTTTATTCTCGAAAACCTTGTTGAATTGCCTAATGACAAAACTTTTCCTATCACCAATACAAGCCAAGCACCCTTTCAACTATTTTATTAGCCACTTAACACCCTTCTTCACATGTACTTTTTATGTTGCCCACAAAACACCCTTCACATGCTTACTTTTATTTTACTGTTCGGTGTTCACGGTAAATATCTGTTTATTTATTGGAAAGGCTGAATACTTTAAATTTATTTTTTGGAATTCTAGGAAGCTCTGGAAAACACGTATTCTGAGGTTGTTTGCCACAGAGCCAAAAGGCCCTGACTAGAACGGAGCAGAATTATCATGTGTAGGCCATCTAGTTTTGTGGACTTTCCTAAAAAGGTAGGACCAGTTGGATGCGGATTTGAGAGCTTCAGAGCGGTGTCTACACAATTCCAGCCTTCACGCCGATTTTCCACACCCTCGACGTATGCCATCGGGGCCCTCTACATGCCCGCAGGGAGGATTGCCACTCAGCAGTGCGATGCCAGCTTGTTTCCTCTGTGATGAGTATGTTATATTGGTCAGATTCCCGAGGAGATGCTCGGCGAGCGATATTCAAAGAGTGCAGCTTTATGCCGAAGTTGATCCAGCCTACTGCTACTTTTACGATGGTTTCTAGGGCAAATAATGGAAATCTTGTTAGGCAAGGCGGGTTCCTACTCGGGTGCAAAGCCAGATTATGAACTTCTTTGCAGCTCAAAAGGCATTTACTTGAGTAGTGGAGAGAGTAGCAGACAGTTATACTTATTATATTAGTAAAAACATTGATTTACACACAATATTATGTGGATTCTAATTCTTATAATTATTTTTGCTTGCTTTAGATTGGAGATGGTTACTATTGGCGGCACCGCAGGTCGTAGCGATGGATCGCAAGTGGCAACGCGCGACGGATGACATGGATAGGGGGATGACCTATTCTTAGTGAGTATATCCTAAATCGTGTTTGAATTATTGTGGGCGACATCTTATATAGTTGAGTATTATGATGACTCATGTTTTGTATATTCGTGGACATCTTTTATACGCTTGAGCATTATTGATACTCGGTGTTGTATATATTTGTGGATTTAGACTTATGCATATGTGTGTATTGTTGTCGTGTGAAAATTATTATTGTGGGATTTAGAACTTATCGTGAAATAGCTGAATGTATATATTTCGATTGTTTTGTGAAAAATTGCCGATGGATGAGAGGTTTAATTGGGAAAATTCTGGTATCTGTCATTCATCTGCGAGATGTTTTTGGAATCGTTTCTGTTGAAATTCGTTTGGGCGAGATTTGTATGTACATGGGGAATATGATATTATGTACAGGCGAAGCTGCTAGTAAGTATATCATCACCAGATTTTTTTTTAGCTGCTCGATACTTATCGCTGACGCGGCTTCCCGTCAGCGATTTACGGTATTCGCTGACGGGGAAGCCCGTCAGCCGTTATGTACATAACATAGCTGACGATGTTCCCCCGTCAGCGATACGTATCGCTGACGGCGAGCGTCAGCGATTGCTTACAAACATCCTGGGGTCCGGGGATGACGGGCTCCCTGTCGAGCGTACTTAGTTCGCTGATGGGGATCCCCTTGTCAGCGATAGAGAAACATCGCTGGCGGGACGCCCGTCAGCGGATGTTTTCTCTATCGCTGACGCGGCTTTTTGCCGTCACCTGATACTGCCCCCGTCAGCCGATAAAGTATCGCTGACGGCACCCGTCAGCGATAGTCCTTCCTGACGCGGTACTATCGCTGACGTGCGTTCCTTGAACGCGGACGCCGTCAGCGCATACGCTATCCGCTGAGGGAAATTGGGAGCATCTGCTGACCGGGAATGCCCGTCAGCGATACATGATTTTCTTATTGCTTACGTTTTAAACAAGTTTAACAAGGGTTTTAAAGTTTGTTTAGTGTGTTTTAAAAGAGTTTGTTTGTGAAGAAGTTTCTTACAAGTGGAGGAGATCATCTACATTGTTTGAAGCTTCATTTTAATCCATCTCTCCATCTTATTTTTCAGAGAAGAATTTCTAAACTCAATACTAGATTTGTATTAATTATTTGTTGTTTATCATTTTTATCAAGCTAGGGTTTACATTGAGTTTATGATTGATTTTCTTATTGCTTACACACACAACCATTGAGCTTATTGCATTTGCATACATTGTATAATTGGGTTGTGGGAGTTGTAACAATTAAGAGTGAGCTTAATTGAGTTCTCATCTATTGTAGAGAACAAATTTGTATTTGTGAGCCTTATTTGTGTAGATCACTTTGTAATACACTTGTACACCGAGAGGAGTGTGTAGTGAGAGACGGGGTCATCCCAAGAGGAGTGCAGTAGGTGGTAATACCTAGAGAGAGGTTGTAATTCCTAACACTTGAGGGAGACACGGACTAGAGACCAACACTTGAGAGGGTGTAAAGTGGGATTGCAAGAGTGTGAGATTATAAAGTTTTCAGTGAACTAGAAAACCGAGTGTGAGGTGTAAACGTTATTTGGGTGAGCGTAAAAAAATCGGTTGTAATAGTGGATTTCTTTCCAGGAGTAGGGAGCAGAGAAGTTGGACGGTAGGTCCGAACTCCGTGATCATATTGTGTGTTTGCATTGTTTATATTTCCCTATCATATTTGTAGATTATTTATTTCACCATTGTATTAATTTATATATCCTTACATATATTTCATCATATAGGATATATCTCTTTGTTCATATTGCATATTCTTACTCATAACATATTGTATATCTATCTTACAAGAATAATTTATTAATAAGTTTTAATTAGCATAAAATCGGATTAGATTAGCATAAGACCCCAATCACCCCCCCCTCTAGGGTCTAACACTACTGTCCTACTCGAGTTACTGTTCATCCTGCCAAATGATAATGTTCATCAGGGTATTGTTCATCCTAAATCTCGCTGTCTCAACACCGATTTCGACCTTGACAGTATCTTCTATAGCTAACTCACTGTCGACAACCCATACCCTACTGCATCCAAAACCCTAGCCTACCTCCACTTGATGTTGCACCATCGTTGGCACATTCAAACTAGACCTGCACCGTAGTGCCACCACCGCTTGACCACACGAGCCAAATTTGCATGGCAACGCCACACCGCTTGACCGACACCGAGCCAAAACTGCAACAAAGAGCCAGGTTTGCACGAGCGCCCCACTCCGCTCGAGTGACACCGAGCCAGAGCCACACAATGGTCTACCAAGCACCAACCTCAATATCACTAATTTCTAAGCCTAGCAAGCCCTTTCTCGCAAGCAACTCATGCCCACCAACCGTATGACGATATGCCTCAACATCATCAATATCCTTCATATTTTGTACAAATGTCAAAGCAAATTTAATGGATAAAAAATT